GTACTGAGTCCCGCTTCATGATGATAAAGGTGTCGTCCACGTAGGGGATCCACAGCTTTGGATTGATGATCGGCAGTACTGCACGCTCTAGTCTTTGTATTACCGCATCAGCAATGAATCCTGATATTGGGGATCCGATTGAAGTTCATTTCAGCTGTTGATATGTTTGTCCATCGAAGGTAAAGTATGTATCCGTGCAAAAGTCCAACAGTTTGCAAATAATTTGAGGTTTCATGGCTTCCGTCGTGTTTGGATTACTCTGAAGCAATTCCGCTATGGTTTCTGAGGTTGTGGTCGATTGAAGTGAACAGTGATGTGACGTCAAACGAAAGCATGACTTCATCGTCTTCTATAGTGAAGTTCCGTAGTTTGTGTAGGAATTGACCTGCATTTTTGATTGTGTTCCGATCCGGAGATTAAGTGTTTTAATCTTCTCCATAAGTCTTTTGCTAGTTTGTACGTTGGGGTTCCCGGAAGTGAAACGATTGGTCTAAGTGGAGTTCATTCTTTGTGCACCTTTGGTAGTCCGTAGAATTGTGCAATGTTGGTATCATCGGCTTTCATTTTCCATCGTTCCAGCGAACAAGCCAACGACCATCTACGCTATCTGAGCTACCGACATTCTCCTCTATAGGAGTCGAATGTATATCGGCTTCTTTTCTGCCGGCTGACTGCGTGATTTTACCTGATTGCATGACCGTCTGGTATCATAGCACAAATTTCTCTAGGTAACCGTTCTCCATCTGAGCTTTAGAAATGAGGCGCAATTCTGCATCTGGCTTGTCTCCAGTACAGATGTTACGAACTGTGTTAGCCGAACACGTAATTGAGTGAACTTCTGCCATCTTGTTTTCTTGAAGGTATGACCTCCAGGATCATCATCACTTTCTTCTTACGCGGCTTACCGCCTAACCAAAGACCGATGGGCAACAGACATGGCATGATTTCGTGTAAAATGTTGTATTCACTCTTACTTACAGGTAGTTTCACGAACGATCTTGTATTGTTTAACAATGAAATGTTGGTTTTCATTCATAGATACGCAAAATTATTGTGTGGGTCACAACTAACCCAGCGGTCAAGAGACGAAAGGTCGAAGGAGGAAAGAACAGTCTTCTTCACCGACCGCCTTATACATTTGGTGGGTGGTGCGTCAGATGTTCTCACGTCTCGTTGTTAGTCTTTCAAGACCGCAAATCCTACGTACTGGTTCATCTGGTTCTGATTGGTCAAACGGAGTGACCTATTGACTTTTGTCCCTTTTGAAAGGGAATGAGTTATCTCACTTTAGGAAGTCCCGTCCGGCATATGATTCTATCGTTTGAGACGATTATCAACTGAACAGCGCTCAACTATGCTCTTGGAGTTGGGTCGTCTAAATTGGATTGGCGAACACTTGTTCTAATGAAAAATTAAGTTTGCGCCTTAATGTGAACGAATTTCAACATGTGGTTAGACATTTCTCAAGTTAAATTGCGGACAAATTCGTACTACTTACAGCACTGCTAAGAGTACAACTAATCGTGTCATGGACCCTTGAAATTTGTATTTCTGTTCTGCCCATCAGATGCGTTGTGTGGAAGACTTGAGTGTATGTTGCTTCAAATCACATCTGACTTTTCGTTTCAAAACGAGAATGTGAACGCATCCATGTTGAAGTAGTCCGTCTTTGACGCACCGTCTAAGTAGCTACTTGTCTCCCATTCTCTAATCCGCATCATTAAAACGAGTTGTCTTTTTGATATGCTTTCTTACTAAGCGCTGTTGTTCATTGAAACTAAAGTCGTGACAAGGTGTGACGCTTAGTTTTTTATTCAGCCCTCGGAACACTGCACTGATTTCTGTCTTCACTTTTTTTAGCCTCACTTCCAGGCATGTGGGGTCGAACCTTGACAATCGGCAGTGCTGGGAAAACATTCAGCGTGACGGGATGGAAACTGGGCTGGACCATAGGCCCGGAGAAATTTATTCAAGGGATGCAGCTACACCAGCAAAACACTGTCTACACTTGTCCCACTCCAACTCAGGTAGGTCGAGCATTCTTAGGCTAGACGTTGACTATGGCGTCCTCCGTAAGATCCAGCGACATTCTCAGCCCCCCCCCCCCCCGAATGTTCTGTCATTTTTGATTACAGGAGGCTGTGGCTCGAAGTTTAGAGGAAGAAACGACGCTTTTGTCCACCGGGAAATCCTATTTTCACGAGATGTGTGATGTTATCGAACCCAAAGGAAAAACCATGGTCAAACGATTGGACCAAATTGGGATGCGGGCTCTTCAACCCATGGGTGGCTACTTTCTGGTCGCTGATGTGGCCTCGTGGCGTAAGTTGTGATTCGTTGTCACCTCATATGGGCTCCAGAAGCTATCCAAACCCCTGATTTGCATCCATCGCACACTTTCCACGAAAAATCCGTCCCACAGATGGGGGGGGGGAAGCGAGTTGGACCAAGTGGTTAGAGCGTGAATCCACTGGCTGCAAGGTTCGTGGTTCGAACCCGACCTCTGTCTCTTGACTTTCCCTGTCTAGGCTTGGGCGACCTGACAGTATCCCAGCCTTTGTGTGACGCGGCAGTTAAGCACTGAAAGGGTGCTACAGCTGAACAGATGTGGTCGGATCACAAAAATCCCAGCCCTACTGGGACGTGTTAGGTTGTTGTGTGGATGGGGGGGAATTGGACATGATTCCCAGGTTGGCAAAGCTGTTCACTGCAAGGTCACGCTATCCACTGGAGAAAGGACAGTGAGTATCAGTTAGAAGCCGTCCTAACCTCGCCGTTGTGGGGCCAAGATGAAAATTTTAGTCTAACCCAACCTAACCAACATATAGCATGACGAACGAAATATCCAGACCTACAGTCTGGTCGTAGGTCATCGCCACTATCTGTTCGACATACAGTGTATTTGTTCTGCTTAAAAAGCCCATCATAGCCCGGTTTTTGTGAGTACTAGTGTGTCACTGCAGGCGGTATGCAGTGGAGCTTCATCAAAAAGGGCGTAATCGAGAAACGATCGGTTAGCGACCATCACCATGGGTGTGACCATCAAGCCGAGTGCACTGGTAGACTTAGCCGTTAACACCCGGTTGTGTGCGTGGTTGCTGAGGCAAGGAACGAGTAGTGAACTTGCTAGTATGACGATCATGTTGTCACTGTTGGCAGAATTCGATTGGCCAACTAAGGCGACTTTTCGCCCCGGAAACATGGACCAGTAAAGATTGAATCGGGACAGCTGTCATTAGAACGGTGTTGAGTACGGTTAACATTTGAGTAGCATTCTAGAAGACTAAAACCTTACCCTCAGTATTATTACGGTAACAAGGTATACCTAGGACAAACAACCAAGCAGCTGCACATCAAGATTAAAGATCCAAAGCGGCGCATAAGTACACCGCCAGGAAACGCAGGTGATCACCTAGAAGGAGTCTGCGCAATGACTGGACGTACACTGGATATAGAATAGAGCGGAAAATTGGACAATGAGGCAGCAGGGCTTTCTGGAAGCAACGACAAGTAAGCACCATATGAGATTCAAACGTACAGATATAGGCGGTTTAAAACGGTTGTATACAGTATTGGTGGAAGTTCGGGAAGTATTGCCGAATCAGAGGAAAACGGAAACGGTCTGGCAAACGGTATCGGATGAGCTTGGCGCCAATTAAATTTACCTGCAGTCTTTAGCTGACTGTGTGACAAAGTAGCTCATGCTACGTGTTAAAACGGGAATACACGCTTGGTCTCCTTTAAGACAAAATCTCAACAAGCGCTTCCAGGTAAGCTGCAAGAAAACGGTACTACGAAAAATAAGGCTGCCGGGGTAGTCGAGTTGGTGCAGTGGATAGCGTGCTCGCCTGCTATCCGAGGGGTCCGAGTTTCATCTTACTCGTCAGAGCAGGCACTCGAAAATGCAAGCAAGGATGGTCGGTGACAAACTCTTGACGTTAGTAACCACACTTAGGCTAATTCTAACCAAGGGGAAAAGAAACTGGGGAGTCAGAGGCAGGCAATCAAAATGGCTTTGTGTTAGACCGTTGAAAACCACGCTACTCATGGGTAGTGAAACAAATGGGAAAAATAACAGCTGACTGCCGTTGATTCACAGGATTCGCAAGCTTATACCCGAAAACGCGGATGATGTTTACAAACATAACGCCCCTTTTTGTGAATGCTTAGTGAATTTCTGTTAGACACACAATATCTATTGATAATCAATTGAAGTAAGCTTGAAGCATTGTGCAAACAGACCGGATTAGGGGTGTGTAGTCAGTATCTCACAAGTTTCCGCATTTGCAGCGCAAACTACATTTCGTTTCATTCGTTGCAAAAGTGTTCGCACGTATTGTCCGATATATGACTGGTCGTTTCTTTCACTGCGTTATGGAGCGTTTGATTTGCCGATTCAAGTGACATACAACACTTGACAGTTTCACAGTGACGAGTTGTTGTTCCTCACACATGCGGTCATCTCTGACCACAATGGTCATAGCGCAGTCCAAACCTATTCCGGTCGTTCCAGGATTGGTAGTGCATTCGAAGTACTGTTTGTACTGCGTTGTAGATTTGATATGGGCTGGTTGGATAGTGAGGCACTTCGGACCAGTTGTACATTCATCATTTCAATTTGTCAACGCTAAACCATGTACCACGGGTACATTGGTCCAGCTACTACAGGTCCAATCACCGCAAATTAGGAGAGCGTTGGAGATTCAGCCAAGTATTGGAGGTGGTGACATGTCCGGTTAGTTCTGGGTAGGTACGCATCGAAGGCGCTAGCTTTGATGCACGAACACCATTGACTTTGCGATTGGGCCAATGTCACTAACCGTTGGTGAGTTGAGTACCGGGATCCCGATCCCCGGAGGCGACAGACGTAGATCCGACACTTCGTTGTCAGGTCATACACCTGTCGGTCGCTTCCTCTCAGTATCAGGCTGGGCCAAAAGAGCTACGCCAGACAGACGGTCCTCTGGTATGCGGAGTATATATCCTAACCAGCGTAGCTTATGAGGCGCCAGTAATTTATCTATCGTGGGAGATTTTCTTATCCCCAAAACTATCTGGCGAACCTCAGTGTTGCCACCAGACCCGACCATCGGTGATACCGACGTTGAAACACTGACATCTTTCGTATGTTCTAACAACGTAGGGCGAAAATCGGGTTGGTATAAACACAGATTACTACCAAGCGTGATTTGTGCAGGAAACGGCGTGAAGATGGGCGGACGCTAAGTATCGGTAGTAAAAACATCCAAGTTGCTTATTTCCCACTCACCCCCCCCCCTCCACCAGTAAATTTATGAAATCCTGTAGAAGGTATAGTTAGACATGTACCGGGTGTATTTCCAAGTATTGTACGACCCTGTGCAAAGGCCATGATCTCAAATCAAAGAATCGGTTAATTATCCTAACCGCACGATCTGGGTGTCCTATCTGACGGGTAACGCGTGGTCCAATTTAACGACGGACCGTCAGTAATAATTGCGGCGAAACCGAATTCTGCGAACTTCACCTGCGTCATGTGTTCAATGGTCGCTACTGGGAAGCAAACAATATATTGAGTTAGACGTGGGCAGACAGTATGGATAGAGGTAGACCGTGGTTCTATAAAAAATGAACAGTAAATAATGGGCAGAATTAAAGGAAAGCTGACGGCTAGATTGAACCTTGGGCAGTTTGCGACACAGGATGGCATAGAAAGCGCAGCGTGCTGTCGGATAAATTAAACGGGAAAAATGTTGTGCAGTTCAAACTGGGACAAAATGTTCAACAACAAACCCAGAAATGAATGTGAATAAATCGAGTCATGAAACCAGTTAATATAGAATCGACTTTGTATAAAATAGAACAGTTTAGTATTGAAACTTGGGCAGTCACCGGAAGGGTGATGAATTAATCTGAGGAAGGCGGAAACATAAACAATTACGCCACTTAATTAACAAGTGTCATACCTCGAAATTCGTTTTCTTTGGAAAGTACACAGTATTATGTCTTCGTTTGAAGGCTTCGAACAGTGAATTCAAAATCATCCACTTTCGTGGTATCCATGTGTTCCTGAGTTATTTCATGTGGATGGGAACTGCAGTGTCAGGAAGTCAAATCCCGACAGGTAGGTTACCATGGGCGGTAATGTTTGGAGTGCATACAACCGGGTTGTTGTTAGCGGTTTTCTGAAAAGCCCCCGAGGAAAAATCGATAATGGGACCAATCACTATCCTCATCATCAATGACAGTGACACTTGATGAGAACAATTGTGCATCAGTATCGTACAACCATGTCAACTTATTTGAAATAAGGCCTTATGATGGACAGTAGAAAGAAGTGGGACATGGAGGGGGCATAGGGCTAGGCTACCACGAACATCCTGCACTCAGTTAGACAGTCTGGACGGAAACTGAGTGCATGAATGCCACTTCCATAGGTGAGGCGTCATGTTGTCCAGTATCTCCAGTCGAGCATAGGGACGGTCAAGTTGACTGACTCCATCCTGGAAGGCGAACGGCACTCAAACTGCTCTTTCCTTCCCCTCTGCCATATCACATTCTGTCGATCTTCAGGTTATCGAAATGCGGCAACTCAGTATGTCCGACCATCTGAGAATATGGCGCTGGATGCATTATTTGAGTGAAGTACCGTCTGCCTCACCCAAAATCCGTTTTCTGATCACCTCCTTTCTAATTCGTTAGTTCCAGCCGATTCCAGCTACAGTTCTAAGAAGTCGGTGGTCACAGACTTGAGGATGTTCGAGGTCCTCCGCCCGAAATGGCGAAGTCTCGCAGCCAGATAATACAACCCGCGCCGTAGTCTGATATACGCATTCTTTGGTACCCAAAGACGTCGTAAGTGGCGCCAATCGGTAAAAGTTTACACTGCGGCAGTGCCATCCATACCGCTTTATGGATCGGCGACGTGGCCTCCACGCGCAGAGAAACTCTCCCTCGATAGATAACTTACTCACGTCTAGTAGGTTACTCCGTTTAGGATACGTAATTCGCATGCCAGAGGACCGTCTGCCTTTCGGAGCTCTTTTCGCCCAGCCTTGTACTGAGTGGAAGCGACCGAGAGGTGGACAGTGTATGACCTGGCAACGGCGTATGCGTAATTCGTCCGATCGCGCAGTCAGTGGCACTCGTTCATCAAAGCTATCACGTTCAATGAGTGGCTACCCATTCGCCGGTTTTTAATTGGACACGCCATCGCCTTGAATGCTTGGACGAATCTCTAACGCTCCATTACTTTCCGATGATTTAATCTGTAGTAGTTGAAACCAATGTATCCATTTCACATGGCTTATAGTTCTGTAAACTGGACTGAACTGGATCCTAGTGTGATCGGATGCCTGATACAGAGATTGTAGACAACAGTTTGTTTTCGACATCATAACGAAGGCGACATGTTTGTCTTGAGTAGGCCAGTCTTCGTTGGGCTGAACGCGAGAGCAAGGTTTTCGGTTCAGTCGCTTGCTGGCTCAATCATAACCGTCTGAAAGTTAATCTATGCTGAACGGTAAAAGTAAATAAAAACCTTTTTCATACGATTTGAGGATCCACAGAATTGCGTGTTTTAAAATCTCCAGTGCAGTTAGTATTCTTGATCTTCCGGTCGCTAGTCGAATACCGTTTTGTCAGCAGTGTGGTCAAATTGCACGTGGGCAGGTTATGGCGCCACCATCTGCGCAACTTGCAGATGCACAATAATGCGTGGAAGTTTTGCGATCCAGACATTACGCACTTGGGATGTATGGGATCTTCGGTGGAGAAAAGCGACCAAAGTGGTGTGCATTGATAACGATAAAATAACATTCTTGTGATACTGCAGTTTTGGCGGGAAACGAATCGATAGCTTCTCCGTTCTTGCTTGGGATGCTAATCGAGACTAAAGTTGTGAGTGGTACGATGACAGTTTACCAGACTGAAGGGGAAACTTTTGAAGGCGCTAATCCTACTTTCTCGATTGGAACACCGAGCTCGAACCCAGAACAACTGGTGTTACGCATAATTGTGGTTAGTGCACGGATTTACTGACCGAAAGGTCTGTGGTTTTGAACCCGACATCTGCCTCTCGACGTTCCCTGTCAGTATCCCAGCCCTCGTGCTTCCTTTGGGTGCCGTGGCAGCTAAGCACCGAAAGGATGTTACAGCTGAACGCTTATTTTTATCTTATAGTCCAAATAAATGGACTATATTCAGCGGAGAGAGTGCCACTAAGGACTAATTGGCAAACAAAACAAAACGTTTCTCAGTGGCACCATGATTGGAACGGTAAATTTGAAACTTAGCGAAGGAAGTACGCCTGCATCATTTTCCCGTAAACTCTGGCTTTACATGCCACATATTTGTCAGGGCTTTACACGTCAACAGAGACTTTTATGATCTGATTCAATCGCCTTATTCGAATGCTGTCCGGAAATACCACAATAGTTGGTGGCGGGGTGAATATTTAAAGAATGCGCCTTGTTCAACTCAAAAGTTAGCTTACTCTCCGTCCTTGTGTTCCTCACAACACTGACTAGCCTTCGGAGTATGAGAGAGACTTCTCGGTCCCTGAGAATCGATTGTAAGACCGATTTCCCTGTTTCCCTGAAAATCTGGGCAATGATGGAATCTCGATTAGGGTACCATCTTTTCCTACCGGACAGTAACTCGCATCTATGTGAATTCTGTTTTAGGCACCACGGCATTGAATAGGATCCGTAGTTTGATTGTGCTCCAATGCAATGAATCCTCAGTTACTCTCCTTTTCAGATTGCGTTCCCGGTGAAATTGGCCTTGTTGAAACTTTCGCCATATGCTTAGATAGAAACTACGTTGGTCGCTAGTTTATCTATGGCTATTGAAGTACACTCATTTGCAAAACAATTTGGCTTTGCGAGAGACTCACCTTGAACCGAGCTGAATCTCTCGTTTATGATGTTTTCAAGCAAAACCAAATTTGTTTGCAATTAAGTGTATTTCGCTGATTTCATGGGTTCAACCAGGATGTAAGGTTGACGGAAACTCGGAGACTGCACGTACCTAATGAGCCCCAAGAATGGCGAAACCGGTCGGAGGGTCTGGAGGAATTTCCAGCAACCTTATAAGTAGTGTATTACGTCCATACATGTTCTGCCAGATATTCGTACCGCCTCCTGGAGCTGTGAATAGGTGTCGTTCGTTTCGTTGCCATTCTTACCACATCGTGTCTTTTACCAATAACAGCGCATAATTGGAGTGGAAACAAAGTGTTCACTGGGAACTACAGTTTCGGACAACTGCGTACTATCTATAACTCATAACGATATGGTTGATTTGGTTCCGTGTCTGTGTTGGCAACGGATAATGTCAGGTTTGCAAGTTGACTTGCCTAAGTGTCTCCGTTATTCTGGTTGACAATCCTGTAAGAGAAACACCCCCTTTATACCGAAGGTGAATGTCCACGCACCGTTTACTATTGTGATGCTTCAATATCTTCCATTTGCATCTTCAAATCTGAGTAGATTTTCTTGGTTTCCGTGAAAATCCGTTCTGCTTGTTTCCCCGTTTTTCACCACGAGAGGAAGCTTGTCGTTCAATTGTTGTTCACACAGTGGAGAGGGCGGTAAGCTGTAGTCGATTAGGGCCAACTGTATTCACATGTGGACTATTAACACATCAATGGTTACTGACACTGGCTCCATCCATCAGCCACTGGTGCTCGTACGTCAACACCATCTATCGCCTTCAGTGTGTGACTGCCCACTTTCTGGAACTAGCTGATCTTGACACCGCCTCCAATGCTCCGCTGTGTCTCTCCCATTTTCCGGCGACAGAAATGAAACCAACGTGCCCATGGCCTATAGCTCACAAACTGACTGCTCGAGTAACAGAATTACCTAAGAGTTGTCAAGGATGCACGAAACCGGAGACATACACTTTCGAGGAAAACAGGAATGAACATGCACGATTTTCCTCTCGGTTCGAAATTGTTTCAAGGCACAATCGAAAGTTTCCAATTTCGAATATCCCCTAAGGGTTAGGTAGTGAGACGATTTTGATAATTTCAGCCGTTCATCTATAAGCACGTGACGCGAACGCGACTGGATCACACTGACGTTTCTGATAACGTACGCAAAAGTCGTCGCTTTTCCAGATAAGCCCCGCCACTAATGCAAAAAGTGCATGTGCGAACAGTTTAGCCCCGCCGATTCGCGCCAGCTCCAATTCAATGTACGCACATAACCTTGACCTAATTTTGATGAAAACAATTCTTTATCCGCGTCAAGGCTCATTTCGTGCAAAACTTTTATCCGTTCGGACGTAAAACCTTAAATGAACTTCCTGATGCTGACAACTATCGTTCATGACAAGGAGACGACAAGAGCGTTTTTTGCAAAGCCAGGCAGTGATCCATCAGCAACGTTTATGCAACAGTGGCCACCAAATGACACTTTCAACTGTTTCTGACAGGTGGAGGTGTAATGCCCGACAGGGTCGGCAACAAATCGGTCTTAGAAAGGGAACTTGGCTGGAGCGGTCCAGGATGAAGTTTAGGACAGAAATTCTATTCATTCATTGCTGGTCCAAAAATTTGGCAAAAATCAAATTCTGCTCAGAGGAGTTATCTATTAGTCACACGACCGCTGTTGACTGAAAGAACCTTCTTCGCGAAATTTGTGCCTTGCGCCTTTTTACAGGCTCCAACAGTTGTCGGCGGCCCAGGTCTACAGTCAAGAACGATGAAACGCTAATATCTTGCGTAAAAAACTACGCAGGGCAAGTCCCTTCCCAAGCAGTGGATTTTCGGAGGGATCTGCCGGGAAACTAAAGGGGTGTTCATGTATGCAGTGCCAGTTCGAACTGCGGCCACTTTGATGGACACAATCCATGTCTACATCGCTCCCGGCTCCATCATCATCTCCGATATGTGGACATCATACCGAGGAATTGAAACGAGTATTGACATGAATTATACTCATGAAACGGCTAATCATACCGAAAACGCTGCGGATCTAACGACTGGAGCTCACACACAAACCATCGAATCTCTTTGGTTCGTCTACAAGATGCAGAATAAACGCCAATGCGGCACACACCGATCTTTAATAGACAGCTACTTGTGTGAGTTCATTTGGAGGCAAAAGTACCGAAAAAGGGACATTTTCATGCAAATTGTTGATGACATGTCCCAATTTCACTTTCTCCAATAAAAGCTAAAAGTACACCTTTCATATCCTCTTTTTCTAAATCTTTTTTGGGTGAGGGACTTAATGTTTTATCCGGGCTTATCTGGAAAAGATTCCACCTTTTTCGTCCACCGGAGTTTACTGTTTTGCAACTTCACTATCGCTTTTTGTTAGGCCGTTAATGATGAACCTTTTTGGTGATATGCATTTCATGTTCACTAGGTTGAATATCTCACTCTCATCGCTGAACTGCATTATCGACGGAGTATATCTGATTGTATTATGAAAACTATGTTGTTGTGTACTTAAAACCAATTCATTTATGGTCTGTGTGAGCCTTAGTAGGGGCGACGTGTGTTTCCCCCTTCCGTGGGTGTGATTAGCTAAAACTATCAGAGATTGGACGTATACAACAATTATTCTTCAACAAGGAATTTTTAGCAACCTACTGAGTAGTGCGATATCTCGAATATCGTAGCAACTGAGGCATAAGGCGGCCTGGTGCAGCACATTCAGTTTCCCAGAAACATTACAAACGAGGGATTCAGCCGGGTTCCAAGTGAGTCTCTCGCAAAACCAAATTTGTTTGCAAACAAGTGTATTTCGCTAAGTATTCGTAATCTTTTCTTTATCTTGATGTGCAACGTGTTGCAAACATGTTCCACGCGCTTTGTTGTCAGACGCTGCTAGGAGTTCAAGCCTCTCGCAATGTTTAATTTAATATTCTGCCTCTACGATCATCTTTCGAACTTAAACGTTTTCTAACTTCATTCTCTTTTCTGTTCAGCGATACCGAAGGATCAATTAGAAGACGATCCCGCATTAACTTATGATGTTGTGGTGAACAACTGGTTGATCAAACACAAGGTACGTCTTTGCACCACTGTCTCAGAATGCCGTATCGATGTCTGTGCATAAGAATAATCCAGGGGATATTTTCAAAGTTCAGAGCAGATGGTTCGAATCTTGCTTATGATTTCATATGGGGCAAGATGGTTCAAGTGGTCGGAGTGTGAATTTACTGACCAGAAGGTCTGTGGTTCGAACCCGGCCACTGCCTCTCGATTTCTCATGTCTAGGCTTGGGTAACCTTGCAGTATCCCATTCCTCGCGCCATCTTTCTGGTGGCTTGGGAGTTGGGCGCCGGAAGAATGCTGAAGCTGAAGGATAGGATTTCATATAACCCAGTTAGTGAATTATGGCTGCCCTCCCTAGTTAGCACCTTTTCTGTAGTTAGAGCTCAAATTAGTTCGATGGTTGGAGCACCAACTTACTGACCGGACGGTCAGTGGTTTGTAATCGAGCTTCGGCATCTCAATTGCTCCGTCGGTGACCTCGTGCTTTCTTTGGGTAAAATGACAACTAGGCACTGTAAGGGTATGTGCTTTTGACAATTCTGCTCACCTATGAGTTGAGTGCTCTGTTGATCGATGCAATTCTAGTAGACCCCACAACTCGTCGCAGGAATTTCACTCCATTCAGATGCCTAAAAGTATGAAAAAGAGAAGCCGAAGTTTTATCACATTTACCCCCTTGTTGGTCTGCTCTCTTTGGCGAAAAATGGATAAAATGACAGACCAAAATGGACTATCAACTCCGGGTCGACAGAAGTTTTGAAGTGGAACTCGATTCTTTACTTAGGTCCCATGGGCCCTTTGGCTCCGTATTTCGCAATTTGTGTGCAATTTGGTTTTCATATGGACGTTGATGGACTACCTGTTTGCCTGATGAGCCTCAAGAAAGGTAAAACCGGTCGTGGGCTGTCGGGGGGTTTTCGTCAAATTTATATGAGTAGTGTCAGAGGCTCTGAATGGTTGACGTGCAAAATTGACGTCCACTTAGAAAACACCTTTTTTGAGTAGAATTTCGAGAGACGACCTCTTCGTTTTGGAGAATACCGGTCTACCAGTTTTATGGAAGTAACTATTTCAGGCTGTTTGTTCTCAGCTGTACAGTTTGGATGGTTTTGCGAACCAATCCTGGTACTTATCGACAATTGTTATATCAACTCTCAGGATCCGTCGGCTTGTTTTCCTCTATCTAGGGTGTTGCAACTATTCCTATGAGCGTGTTCTATTCGGACGGGAATAAACATCTTGGCTCGAGCTACCTTCGTTTCTGTTTCTTCAAAGTGAGTTCGAATCAGTGGTAGTGGTGTTTTCCATCGTTATTAGCTCATCAATCTTTTTTTGTAAGATGTTCTGGCACGAGGGTGAGAGGTTTTTGGGGTGGTACATCAATTTCAGTCGTGCGCCACAAGCTAAACATCTCTTATTGGGTAAATTGACTACTTTGAGAATTCTTTCAGAGGTTTTATTTAACTAGAATTTCTGCAAAAAAAAGTTTCATTTAGTCCTTCGTTAAATAGTATTTAATTGCTACACGTGCGTTTATCTGCAGTAAGATTCTCCTGGGAAAAGAACACTCTGTCCTCTCACAGTTTTGTGCTCTGTAGACCGTTCATGACTTGCTTTCTCAACGCCACGCCACGCCACGGTATACCAGAAGGCACAATAGCTTAGGGCAATGCTTGAGGGAGACAAGGGAAATTGTTGCAGTTGTATTCATGGGGTTACCACGGAGTTTTTCACAAGCTAGCTTCGTCTTGGGGTGAGAAGCGGGGAGCTCCACCATGATTGGCTCACATTCTGACCAATTCGTGCGTTCCTTTATCTGTAGCTGTCTTGCGACGCATCCGTCCAAGCGACGTGCTGTTCAGTTATGTAGATCTGCTCGCCTTCAGGTATAAGCAACTGCATCGTCTATGTTTTCCGTCTTCTCGGTTGTGGACTTTGCTCGATTTGCTTAACTCGTTTATTAGCCCGCCAGAGTGAAGTGAATGTGTGTATTTACACGCCCCGAACAATATTTGGTCCACTGATCCTCTTCATCGTTACTGACTGTGGCTTTTTCAAGCCTTTTCGAACCCTTCTGCCAGGTAGGAAGACTACTAACTTACCTATGGCGGTATAGTTATTCGATGAGCGCTCCTCGAAGGTCTGCGAAGCTCCATCCACCTGACTACTGTCGTTTCCACGAACGCGTGCCGCAACTAGTCATATCAGACAGTATTCTGCCGTCTGTCAACTGATTGGTTGCTTGACTACAACACCATCTCTAGATCAGTAAAGCTGACCAACATGGTGCTGCCGAAGTTCTCATCGAACAGCATGAAGTCAAGTTCTAATATAATTTCGGCATATTTCATCTGATCACCCTGGACAGAACGAGGATGATCTAAGCTATTCAGCTCAAGTGGGAATACAGTTCGCCGTTTCGGAGCGACCTCGGGGCAGATCGATAGGGTATATACGAATAGTCTTTTCGTTTCACGGCCGTTTCAGTGAGAGGCATGCCGTTAGGATGTAGGTTGAAGATGACCTACCAGCTGGATGGCCTTCCAGCTGGTAGGCCATCTTTCTCATCATTCTTCCACCGATGACGAAGCTGAACAAGAACGGAGGGGGTGGGCCTCCTTGTCGTACCCCACTTTTTGTAGCGAAGCTTTCGGTGAGCTCACCGTACACTCTCACACGCCCAGAAGTATGCGAATATAGGGAGACCGAATTAAGTTCACAAATTTCTAGCGCGGCTCATGCTAACTCTAGGTTGGAGAACAATCATCTCCCAGGGAAGACTAAGTGGCTCTTTCTTCCAATGTCGTGATTTCCATTCGGAAGCTGCGTTGGTTAGGCGATGTGTTGCGTATGCGGAACCATGGTTTGCCGAAGATAGTAGTGTTTTTTTGTGCTCAATTCAGAGTGGTGAAAGCAAAGAGGCGGTCAACCCTTGACCTAGCAGAGAAGAATGCTTTCAGCGCTACTCGTCCTCTAGGCCGCGTAATCCTCACTGTGCCTGGTTGAAAACGCTGCAAGATATATCTGTTAATCAATGTTACTGATCGTTTTGTTTTCGGTTTCCATCCAGGTCGCCTAAATGAGTGTCCGGAGGTGTAGGCACCTCGGAAGAATGATTGTAGTAAGCTAGCACCAAGTCCCTACTCTGTCCACTTTTGTTCTTTTCCTCACAATAAGACTTTCTTCCCAAGATCCGATTTCTCTTATACAATTAGTCGAACATTTATTTTTCTCGTACACTCTGGTAATTTCAGGAGGATTCGACACTTGAAAAGGCGTACAAGGCTCTGGAACAGTAATCTCTCTAGAATTTCAATGATCTCCATATCGGCAATCATAAAGGGTACTGATTCCTCATCCAAACCGGTTACCGGGCATATCATTGATTGTTTGTACTGTGCTAAGTTTTCGTACAAAATTGACTTTCTCCCTTCTTCATTATTGGTGGTGCACTTGAATCTGGGTGGCGAAGACCAGGCTTCGAAACCAATACATGTCCGCTGGCGTCTAAGCACGATGTGTGTGAACGACGGATAATAAATTTCGTTGCGATGAACTAGACATCTCATGGAGAGGAAGTCAGCGCCGCCAAATATGAGGTCCCAGTTTTCCGCGCATCGATGTCCAGCTGTGGGCATTCAATCTGTGGGCGGATGAAAACCCCATGGTTGAGATGGAAAAGGCACGCTTAGCTTCGACAGGATGGCATATGCATCCAAGCAGTCCAGCTTCGATTGATTGCCGGAACTCATGCTTGTCCCACGATTGTCGTTCACTTGGAAGTTGTGTAAACACCCTTCACGCTCCATCAAGGTCACACTGTGATGTGCATCCAGACAGAGGGCAGCTCTATCGTTGTTGTCCCATAAGGTTGCTGAAAACCTCCAACTTCTTGGGGCTTGCCTTGTCCCCGAATTCTCATGAAAATTGCAGGCTTTATGGCCAGAACAATGCACTGAGATATCCCGAATATCGCCTCAGTTTAGTTTAGCATCTGTGCAATCTATTCAGCTGAAAAATTGTTGAGTCTACCGTTAACACCAAATTGACCTGTAAATGAGTATATTTCTCCGATACCATTGAATGCTTCTTATGGTTCCTGCTGGAGCATTGAAGATCCGTTCTCAGGTGTTCGGTTTCTTCAGAGTTGGAAATGGTTGCTGAATTTATCCTGTTGATATTCTCTCGATTTAGAGTCCTTTGGACAAAAACAACCAGCGGGATTAAGAGTACACTCGTTTCCTCGCATGTGGTCACCAACTGTCGGCGTTAGGTCTTGAGCGAGGGATTCTGACTAAGTTGATAAGTACAAATTGTTTTCCAGAATGATAATCGTTGCAACTGTCACGCAACATTACGTTCGAGGATCGCGTGTCTGTCGTGGTTGATTGGACAACAAAATCCTGTCTCCCCAGTGATATTCCAATTCTCAGTTTGTTTTGCTACCGAGCTACCCGTATAAAAGCCAGCACACTGTGCGTCAACCGGTGACTGGATCACCGCAAATCTCAGAGTTTTGGTGAAGAACGACACATTGACCAACGTTTTGTAGCACGCTAACTCGCATCCGTTTGCAACAGAATAAACACTTCCCCCCTAATATGGGCAATTTGGGTTAGTTCAGACCGGAGTTGGTGATCGTTCAGATCAGTTAAGTTTCGTAAAGATAACAGATTCTTGAAAGCGCTGAGTCTTGAAAGCTCATTCAAGGTCATATTTTTCCATGGGTTTGCTCATCTCACCAGAGATGGAGTCGTTTTATTTTGTTGAGATTAATTCGGTCCGTCGTATAATACTGATAAACTCATGATGCGTAAAGAGTGTGTGTGTGATATTGTGACGCAGCCTCAAACAAACATGATTCCAAGACGGACGATAAACTACGTTTCCAGATAGTCGTGCATATTACATTCAGTGTAGCGTTTAAACGTTCAGCCGTAGCATCCTTTCGGTGCCTAGCTACCATGCCACCCGAAGATTGCAGGAGGGCTGGGATACTGCCAGGTTGCCCAAGCCCAGACAGGGGAAGTCGACAGGCAGAGGTCGGGTTCGGACCACAGACCTTCCGATCAGTAAATTCGCGCTCTAACCACTTGGGCCATCGCGCCCCCGTAGTGATTAATGGCATATTTCTACTTTGACCAATGTACCCACAGTCTGGTTCATTGGAACCTGAACATTGAGCTGAACGCTTTGAGTGCATCCTCTGAAAGTGAAATGAACACATCCAGACACTCACCACGGATAGTCCGTAGAAGTTAATTCGACGGACTACATAGGGGCACTCTAATGAAATACAGTCGCAGTCAATTGGCAGGCTGCTGAAATTTGAAATTCGAACCAATTGTCTGTGAGTTCGGTTTGCAATTGAAGAATACGAAGTGTGATTTCGCCGACCACCTCCAGCAGCCCTTAACAGGGTCGTTGCGTCGCATACTTGTTAGGAAAGAACTACCCTTTACAGAAGCGAGGATATTTGTAGACAACATGAAAATGTCCAGGCAACTACAGTCAAGTTTCATCGGCTAAACCCAGAGACTGAGTTCTAACCTGCTGATATTTGTAAAAGCGTTTGGTGCCTTTTCTGTGGTGACATTCATGGCCTCTTGGCAACACTACTTTTCTTGTGTGTGGATAATGCCGTCGATTCCGGACCTGTTGTGCTCAAGCTCAGACAACCGGAAACCAATCACCAACTTCACAAAAAGGGGTTTTCATAGTTTACCATGATCGGAAAGGAACCATACCGCATTTTCAACCTCTCAGTCAGGACGCTGCTATTGAAAGTGTCCAGGAGAATGCATGAAGTGACTTGGAATCGGCCTGACTAGTAAAGAAACGTAGTTGAAAGATGATACATTGCTCCAGCTAATTTTTTCGTTCCATTCATGGGCTACAGAAAGTGCAACCGTTAAAGACCAGTACAATGCCTTCGGTCAGCGCGAAATCCGACTCTGCATGGTTCACTGCGCAGCTTGGTGGTTCATCGGTGCCTTCGGTCAGCGCGAAATCCGACTCTGTATGGTTCACTGCGCAACTTGGTGGTCCATCGGTCAGTTGTATTACCCTTTCGATGTCTACCGCCATGCCACCCGAAGGAGGCACGACGGGTGGGATACTGCCAGGTTGCCCAAGCCTACACAGGGAAAGTCCAGAGGCAGAGGCGAGTTTGACCCGCGGACCTTTCGATCAGTAAATTCACGCTCTGAACGCCGAGCCATCTCGCCCATATCCATAATTATGTATGTATGTAGATACATGTATGTATATCAAATGCAAAGAGACGCAAACTCCAGAAGTCAGCGGCAGAGAAGAAACAGTAAATTTTGAAAGCTAAAGTTGAGCTCAATTATTTTCAACTGCCTAATCCACTACCAAAAATGTCTTCTGGTCCTCAAGCTGAAGCCAGGTGACATATTATAAGTAGTCTTCTATTACAGGTGAGCGTTAGAAAGCAAAATAGTGGAGTCCCCTCAAAAATACCGCACTACTCTATCGTGAAAAGGTGAAGTTAACCGTCTCTCAAAAACAAGCAATCACCAACTGAATTATTTTGGCGAAATAAACTCATTTGCAAACAAATTTGGCTTTGCAAGATTCACCTGATACCCAGCTGAATCTGTCGTTCATGATGTTTCTAAGTTTAGAAGCATCATAAACGAGGGATTCATCCGGGTTCGTCTGCGTATATTTCGCTAATTTCGTTCAATTTGGTTCAAGTGAAACACAAGGTTGATGGAAACTCGGGGACTGCACCAACCTGATGAGCCCCAAGAAGGGCAAAATCGGTTGAGGGCTGCTGAAGAATTTTCAGCAACCTTGTGAGTAGTGTATTACGTCTATACATGAATTATTTTGGGTTCAGCCCACCCAATACGCACTGAGATTGCAAAATAATGTCATAAGATTCAGTATACTTACTGAGGCTAGAATTTGGGGAGCCAAGGACAAACCACCATATTACCGCGAATTTCAACAGGAAGTAGATTAATCTGAATCCTGTTTCGTCATCATCATCATTGACGACCCCCCTATTTTCTACCATCCGCATTGAGGCAGAATAATTAGGACTTCAAAAACTCACTACTGGCTCCAAAGGACCCTCCTGAATCGGTTTATTTTTGGAAGAATAGCTTGACGAAGGAAAGCCGTTCTTTTCTTCACTAGATCTATTTTACTGGCGCACCCGATAAGCTGTCATCAACGCCTTAGGGCTTGCTTCTAGTTCCCTTTTCCCAGAATATGATTACCAATCCCTGTTGATTTCGACTGGACAACATAAGTCGTTTTCGATAGTGCGTTTGTGGAATATCGTTATCAGATAGGTTTGTAGAGATGCTGTCCACATCTTATCTGATCTTTGGCCTACACACTAAAGAGTGGACGTGCTCCACTGTCAGGGGGAGTGAGCTTGTGGCATATCTAGGTTTCTGTATGGCCTGCATACCAGACCAGACCAAATTTGAGCTGTTGGCAGTTGAGTGAGCCCGCCAAAGTTCATCTACACTCGCTGAGCGACTGAACTTCCCTTCCATGAGAGAAAGTCCTAATAACTTTCCTGACATCCGCACCAGCATGTACCCGCTGTGCGGTTCTTTGACGTGTTGAGACTGACATTCTATTCCGGTTCTTTTAGTTTGTAGGATGGAATGAATGAATAAATGGACAAAGGATGAATGTAAGTGACGTTCAGAGCAGGGAGCATCCTGACATTTTCAGATCACAAATCAGGTGAACTCCTCGAGCTGTACGTGGTGCAGGCTGGGTCATTTAAATTTTATCGATCCTTTTAGGCACACGTGATCAGGTTTGACTGAGGTCACCTGTCCGTCTGTTTTAACCGAACCGAAGTGCTTAATACTATGTCTGTCAGTCTGGTGGCAGAAGTCGAATTGCTTCAGTACAGTTCTGTGCTTTTTACGTTTCAGTTGTTGTCTGTTGTTTTTAAACATGCGACCACTTACGCTGGTTTACCGGCTGCTCATTTTCTGTGTTTTCTCACTAATGATCACACGCCCCATTTATGTGAGTATTAACAGGTACTATGAATCAAAGAAAATTATCGCCGATCAAACAGACGAACCTGTACATAGCATTCAGCCTATACACAGCAAGTGGGAGGCACTGAGGAGTCTGAATGGCACGTTGTTTAAAACGGATAGTCTAACGCCTATTGCCTGCGAACAAAGCTCCATATCAAGTAACAAACTACTTGGTGTGCCCTTTCGGAAGTACAGCTTTACAGGACCACAACACTTTATATTTCCTCTGACTGTGGACTTGCTTGCCTTGATTTGTAAGTTTCGTCAAGGTCATTCCCTACAGACAGAGCTGCCACTCAACGATCGTGATTTCCCGTTTCTGATCAACCAACCAGAGTTGTGTACGGACACGGAGTTGGCAGAACTGGACCTCATCCTTCTCATCCGTACCGAGTGTAAACACCGTGTACGACGAAATATCATCCGTAGATTGTGGGCAAACAGTTCTTGTTGGGGTGGGATGCGTGTTAAACATGTATTTTTGCTGGGAAAAGTTGAACAGGAACGACACATGAACCTCGTCGAACATGAGGCTCGTCAGTACAGGGATATGGTACAACAGGATTTTTTGGACACCTACAGGAATATCACTTACAAATTCCTTCTGGGCTTGCAGTGGACACTCGCCTACTGCTCACAATCCAAATGGCTTTTGTTTGTTGATGATGACTTTTTTGTCAATCCACGTCAAATGGGTTCTTTGCTCCAAGATTTGCGCAGAACGCCTCGTCGCTATCTGATTCTGGGTAGTCAGCACACAATGAGTGATACTATCCGTGACCAGTCCAAATGGGGTATCTCCAAGAGTCTGTACCCTTTCGGTAGCTATCCGAACTTTCTCTCCGGTGGTTCCCAGTTGATCGGTGCGCAATTGGCACTCGATATTTACATCAGTTCACGTTTTAC